AACAAACCCCAAACAAACGAGGCGAAACAAGAAGAGAAAATGGAGGTCAGGTGGGATTCAGTGTCGTCTGCAAATTTCTTAACTCACGAGTTTTCACTGCTCAAATTTTCAACCCTTAAAATCTCTCCAATACTCAAAACTCTAATGATTTCAACTCCGAAAATTCCAACGCTCAAAATTCTAACCCCTTTTCTTGAGAACGAAAGGGGTTTATATAGGGTTTTCGGAAGAGGGAAGGGCGGGAACGTGACTAGGCCTATTTTGAATTTGAAATCCCTTCCATTAATGGAGCAACACTTCTTTTTTGAAAAATTTTGCCCTTTGCGGAAATGGAAAAAGGGGAGGGGACAGCTAGGATCGCTCCAATCGTCCTTGAGGGGAGACGTGGATCGATCCTGCGCCCTCAAGGACGAAAACACGTCTGGCACAGACGAAAACACAGGTCTGCCATCCGCCGAAAGCGCTGTAAACGGTACGCTGGGTGAAGAAGGAGACGTTGGGGGAGGGGGAGGTCTCGTAGGTCTGCGTTTTCTGGAGTACTGTTTTTTTCTGCGTTTTTCTCTAGGTTTCCGGCATTTTCTGTGTTTTTTGGGAATTGTTGGGATGAAGGAAAGGGGAGGAAGAAAGAGGGGGAGATGGGTTGGGTCGGGGTTAAATGGGTTTGGGTATTTTAAAAGTTTTGGGCTGTTGAGTGTGGGTTGGGTTAAAGAAAATAAATGGAAAAGGGTGTTGGCTGCTGAAGAGGATTAGATTGGGTTGAGAGGGAATTTGTTCTTGAGGGATTGGGCCTGGGGGTCGGCTTCATGTTGGGTTTTGGGTGAAGTGGGCTTACGAGTTGGACTTAAGAAATTGGGTTGGTAAGGGAATTAATTGGGTTGAGGACAAAACTGAGAAAGGCCCAAGATTGGTTCCTTAAAAGAGAAGAATTAAAAGGAATAGTGGTCCATCGATTTAAAGTAAAATGAATTCGGTATAAATTTATTAACGAGCTTATTTAAAGTAAACTAGTTTGATAGAATACTTTCTAAACTTAAGATATACATATGTACATAACATATACATATACATATATATATATATATATATATTAATCATAAAATATACAAACTATATATACAATTACGTAATATATATATACTTATCTAACGTTATGATAAGTAGCATAAGATCCGTATATTATATATATTTTTTACTTATATATATATATATACATATATATATATGTATACACACACATATATATATATATACTTTCTTTTTTTTTTAAATGTTCGCAAGATTTATAAAACTAATCAACTTAAATAATTTGAAAAACTCACAAAGCTCGATAATTAATTTATACCGCGCCGGTCAAAAATTGGGTGTCAACACATATGTGACGTAAATATCATGTTATATTTAGAATGACAACGTGTTCATTAATAGCTACAATTTATATTTCAAGTTGTCATCAATTATTTCATATGTTATAGTGAGTATTGCATGTGCTAAGGGCCCAATATCCGTTACATAATGCCAAATATGGACATTCAATAATATCACTTCTTAACTTATTAAACAAGATAGAAAATTTTATTTTTAAATTAAATAAGATAAATGTTTTAAATTTAAGATTACATGGCATGTTTACATATTTAAAAATATTTAAGCTAAATAAGATTTAAAAAAAATTAATTTTTAAGAATGAACAATTAAAACTTATAAAGAAAATGTAAAAAAAAAAACTAAATAAGGTAAAGGGTATTTTAATAAATAAATAACTTCTTTTTAGAATTTATAGAATGAATATAAATTTAAATGTGACATACTAAATGAGCAATAAAAATTAATCTCAATATAACTTATTTCAATATAATTTATCTGATCTAAGTGTGCGTGTATACTTACATTTGGTCCATTCAGTATTAAGATGTGTTTTATAAATTAATATATAATAATTTAGCTATGATTATCACAATTCCAATAAAATAATCCGTGAAAATCTAAAAAAAAAAAACAAATATTTATATTTTTTATAATTCAAAATCCTATATCCTAAACCTTCGTACAAAATGAGATATTAAAACATATATCAAAGATGACAATTATCAAATCCCCAAGTCCATTTCTAGAAATAATGAATTTTCAATAAATGGTAGTTGCACCTAAAAATTTCGAGACCGACTTCTCATATTGAACTAAAGGAATTAAATAAAATTATCCTACTTAAATATTACGAGATTTAATATATGCATATCAAAAATAATATTTAACCTTTATACGTCTTATAATTAGCTATATATATACATATATTATATAGTATAATTTTTCAATAACTTTATTCAACTGATCACCTTTTATAAAATCAAATATTATCTTTAAAATCAGTGGACATGACGATAAGACAGACACCTTATAGTAACTTACTAATTAGTAGAAATCTAGAAAGTCAACATTAGATAGTTATCTATAAACTCTATCCTAGATAAAAAAAATTCAAGAGGAAAATACAGTTAATTAATCAAGATTAGGTAGGCAATTACGCAGGTCATTAAACCTTGGAACTTTTTGTTTAAATAGAATTCAAAGTTTTGATGACTTAAAACACCAATTTTATTTTTATATTTATAATCAGTTGTATATACTTAGAGTAAGAAGAAAATGCAATGGATTAGTATCATGATGACATGGGGAATTACTTTATGTTTGTGACTTTTTTGGCCATTTAACCAATTGCCAAAAACCTTGATGGAAGCAATTGCAAGTTGATCTTCAATATACACAAGTGATGTTGAAGCAGAAATTTGAATAATGAGTAATATAAAAGAAGAAATTTGGATTGAGTGCTGGAGTTCCGTTAACAGGATGAAGTCAGGATTTGAAATTTATTGATTAAAAAATTCTCACTTTTTAATATAACAATCAAAATTTTTCTTTGTTACAATGGTATTTCACTAGAACAACTTGATTTTCTTCGAGATCAATTTGTCATATTATATTTTACTTTCTATATAAAAGTAATTTATCTATAACAAAAAATGACATTCATTACCCTTTTGAAAACATACATGATGCCTTGATCAACGTGCGCACATCGCGACTATTTTAGTAAAAGTATGTTACCTTTCACCGAAATAGATTGTTAGATACCAATAACTGTATGCACTAAGACATAGATTAGACTGATGAATAGTCAAGTTTTTCACCAGCTAGTAGCCAGAATGTATCACATTGGCCTAGTATACAACAGTTTCTTTAGCTAAAATTGATACAATAACGCCAATATTTTCCGTAAGTGTAAGATTATATTCCTCCCACCCTAGTTGTATTATGGAGAATCATAATATTAAACCTTGGCTAACAGCTAAGTTGTACAGACTCTTCACTTTCAATGTCTCACTTGTGTTGGATTCTCCAAAAATACACTCCTTTCGGAGAATCCGACACGCAGTCGTTGATATTTTTGAAGAGTCTCAATGAACAGCATAGGCTAAAAGAGGCAAAAGCAAAGGAAAGAAGCAACAGAAAGGCAGTCAGCAGTAGAAGCAAATTTTGAAGTCCTTTGAAGAACCTATCTGCATTTACAGTTGTGAAACCTGGCAAACAAAGCCCAACCTTGAAAAAGATATACACACATTACACCAAAATCTCGCACCACACGATCACATTAACGACTAACAAAATTGTGAAAAAAGGACCCAAAACCAGGAAAACGAAACAAAAACAAAAGGATGATCTGTAGCTTTTCAACAGAACCAATTTAAGGGGACAAGAAGACCTGAAAAGCAGTACTTCAGACCAATTGTCGATCATCAAAACTATTTCTTTGGCGTCATGAGCTTCTCCTTTCCAACTATAAGCTGTAAATAATGATGCAGCTGGGCTTCTCGCTACAGCTTCTGTTCTGGAATGCATCTCTTTGAAAGTCTCAGCCGGAACATCTTCCCACAAAGGAGGTAAAAAAATTAATCAAAGTAGAATACAGATCCATAGATAATGAGGGCATAAACATAAAAAAACAACATCTTCAAGTGCAATAGGATGTAAAGTCCGAGGGCCATTTACAATCGAAGCATCTATCTTAGCTCCTCATGTTTATCCAGCTATTGAACTATATTGAAAGTAAACATAGTAAGATGGCTTCAATCCAACTACAGGCTTCAATTTAGAAATACAACTACGTGCAACATCATGATTTGTCTACACCTAGTCTCTAATAGTCAAAAATATTTTTCCAAAAGTTCCGTAAAGCATATAGCAGATAAAAATGGTCAAGGAGCAAGAAATAGATATTATTATCGGTCCCATATGAGTACCAGTTGACATATTTGTCCCCTATCACCCGACCCCTGAAAAAAAAGAACAAAAAAGGAACTGCTTTCCTTCCTTGTTATCTAAGCAATATTGTTCAGCCTACTCTGCATTACTATGAGTTTTTTGAGTAACAAATATAGTATTTGATTTCAAGCTTAATGAGTCTTACAATCTTATAAGAATCTCGCTTGTCATTAATGAAAATATTATTACTAATTCCTTATCCCTCAGCATAATATTTGATAATAAATGTAGAAAAGAATGTTTGCACATCAAGATCAGGATTACTAGAATGTTGGTCATTTAAATAAAAGCTTACCTTGTCATTTCAAAGTTTAGAGATAGTCATCTCTTGTCAAACTCAACTTTCCGTATCTCTTGCAGCTGATGAGTTATTTCCTGAATAAGCTGTATCCCTTCATGTCCATTCTGGAGCGAGTTAAAGGCATGCATGAGGAATTTATAGTCATCCTCAAGTGCTTGTAACCTCCCACTAAGCTCTGATATTTCATTTCCTATAGAAGCCCCATCAACTTCACCTCCAAGAGAGGAAAGCTTACTATTATTATTGTCTACATGGTTTTTCTTTTCACTAACAAAAGCATTTTCCACGTCTAAAGCAGCAGGCTTGTCAATGGGACCGCCATTTGATTTAGAAAAATCATTGCGCGTTGATGAAGAAATCTCCTCCTCCTGTTGGGAATAAATACTTCCCGCATCATTACTTTGTTTCTTAACTTGATTATCAACATCTTTCTTTATCCTTTCTGAACATCCGTTACAAGGAACATTATCTGAGGCCTTTCTGCCAGAAATTTGAGAAAGTTTTTTCTCCAAGTTCTCCAGATGTTTTGAAATACTTAGCTTTTCATCCTCAAAGTTACATATTGAATCATTAAACTGTCTAGGTTTATCACAGATTTTGGATACTTTAATAGTTTTCGAATCTGAACTGCCATTGAGCTTGTTTTCGACATGTTCTTTACTATGATTCTCATTTATTACATTTTCTTCTTTCAGGTTTTTGTTTTCCTTTTGTGGATCTTCTGCTGATAACTCATCTGGAATATTATTTCTATATTCTAATAACTCTTCTTCCATATCTTGCAACTCTTTCTCCCTTTCAGCAAGTTGATCATTAGCCCTTTCTAGTGCCTCCATATCATACTCGGCTTGCTCTTCCATCATTCTTAAATACTGCAAGGCCTCCATATGAAGTGACGCCTTCTCCTCTTGCAACCTAGTGATCATGGCCATTGCCTGATTAGTGGCAATGGCTGATGCACTCCTTTCTTCCTCCAGTTCCTTGTATAGAGAATTTATGTATCTCTGATCATGTTCAATCTGTCGTTTCAACCTATCAACAATACTCTCGTCCTCAATATCACTGACGCTGAATCCATCTGCTGATTCATTACCAGAATCATCTCTCCCCTTGATGGTAGATGTTTGAACCACATGTACCCCGTCAGAGCTAGAAGCATCACTTCTTTGCTGGTCATCACCATGATCATGATTCCTCAGACTTGCAGTTTGCGATTCATCCATCACAGAAGCAGAAAGTTGAGGAAGTGACTTCATACCTTCTCCAGCATTTACAGAAGCACTAATTGCACTTGGTTCTCCAAGCCTATCATGATTCCTAAGACTTGTAGTTTGCGATTCATCCGTCACAGAAGTAGAGCGTTGTGGAAGCGACTTCATACCTTCTCCAGCATTTGCAGAATCACTAATTACTTTTGCTTCTCCAAGCTTATCATGATTCCCAAGACATGTAGTTTGCGATTCATCCGTCACAGAAGTAGAACGTTGTGTAAGCGACTTCATACCTTCTCCAGCATTTGCAGAATCACTAATTGCCTTTGCTTCTCCAAGCTTATCATGATTCCTAAGACTTGTAGTTTGCGATTCATCCGTCACAGAAGTAGAAAGTTGTGGAAGCGACTTCATACCTTCTCCAGCATTTGCAGAATCACTAATTGCTTTTGCTTCTCCAAGCTTATCATGATTCCTAATATTTGTAGTTTGCGATTCATCCGTCACAGAAGTAGAAAGTTGTGGAAGCGACTTCATACCTTCTCCAGCATTTGCAGAATCACTAATTGCTTTTTCTTCTCCAAGCTTATCATGATTCCTAAGACTTGTAGTTTGCGATTCATCCGTCACAGAAGTAGAAAGCTGTGGAAGCGACTTCATACCTTCTCCAGCATTTGCAGAATCACTAATAGCTTTTGCTTCTCCAAGCCTATCATGATTCCTAAGACTTGTAGTTTGTGATTCATCCGTCACAGAAGTAGAAAGTTGAGGAAGCGACTTCATACCTTCTCCAGCATTTGCAGAATCACTAGTTGCTTTTGGTTCTTCAAGCCTATCATGATTCTGAAGACTTGGAGTTTGTGATTCATCCATCACAGAAGTAGAAAGTTGTGGAAGCGACTTCATAGCTTCTCCAGCATTTACAGAATCACTAATTTCACTTGGTTCTCCAAGCCTATCATGATTCCTAAGACTTGTAGTTTTCGATTTATCCGTCACAGCAGTAGAAAGTTGTGGAATCGACTTCATACCCTCTCCAGCATTTGCAGAATCAGTAATTGCACTTGGTTCTTCGAGCCTATCTGATACTTTTATCCCTCCATTACTCACAACAGATAGATCAGCTTGATTTTTTTGGTTTGATATAGGTGGAGCACCTTCATCTAAATGAACTGGAGCTTTTGCATTATTCTTCTCAGTTAAGTTGCTTCCTTCATCATTGGCTTCCGTCAAATCTACAAAATCATTTTATAAAGACAAAGCAAATGAAAAAAGGGAATTCAACTGCTTTTCTTGGAATAACTCAGGAAAATATAATTTGCATATACAGAACAAACAAGTGTATAAGACCATCAGTCAAAGAAAAAGATCAGCTTACCTGTCTGATGGATATTAATAGTGGATAAAGAAGGTGTCTTGGTCACTGATATGAGCTCCGAAAGCGCAGAGAGGTCTGAGATACGAGGGAGAAAAACATTGGACGTTAAACTCTCTCGTGACATGTGATGATCTTCTAAAGGGTTGGATGCATGGGCAACATTATATGATGAAATAAATTCTGGCAATACAGAAGCACCGGTCTTAGGAGAAAGACTTTCCCAGTCAAGTTCTGCTAAGCCATGCCCTACAAAATCATCAGATGCCTGAAAACTCACAGTTTTGCCCGAGTTGACAGTCAGCTGTCTTGGTTGATCCAGATGATAAGGCTTGGATTCAGAAGATTGGCGAGGCTGATCAGTTTCTAATTTCTGCGTTATACCTTTGTCATGTGGAACATTATCTTCCGATCTAGAATCATTTTTACCACGAGTAGCTGAACATCCATCCTCATCATCAGACATCTGGATTTCTGACTCAGAATCTGAAGTAATCTTCAACTCTGTATATCCTACATGTGATAAAGGGTCAAGGGCAGAAGCCCTTGTCCTAGGTGACTCTGGCCCAGAAATTTTATCCCTGATCTTCTTAAAGCTATCACGTCGACTGAAACGGCTACGACCTGGTGCGCGTGGTAGAGGAGGTTTGACATTAGCCTTAGAAGCTCCAAAACCAACTGAAGTTAGCTGTAGCAATCTTTGAGCACTTGATCGAGCCCTCCACGTCTTCTGACAACAAGAACAGTTCCATGGGCCAGGAGAAGTAGGTATAAAACTCTTATTCCCCAATTTATCAATCATCAAGTTATCTGACTCTTTAATAAGTATGTTCTCAGTAGCAAACGATACAAGACATTCTTCACACATAGCACGAACATCAGCAAGATTACCATGAATATGACAAAACACTTGAAATGATACATCCTCTTTATGGTTTCTACAAAGATGACTCCCATAACATCCACTTTTCTTATCACCAAGTATATGATTAAACCTCGAACACAACATACACGGTGTTTGCAACTCATAGTAACTCGCAAATTTAGCAATGAATTGCGCCAATGCAGCATCTATAAACAACATAAACATCAAAAACCATTCACATACCGCATAAGACAAGACTGTCATAAATCCCCCCGGAGATGAAATCCCTCCGGCAGCCATTGCCCCACACAATAAAATTTCAGTCTCCCCAAATCACATTACGTTTCCAGTTAACCAAACTTGTCAATCAATCACCAAAACAACAAGCAATTGCAACTAATTGGGATCGAATCTTCTAATCAATATCAACAATTTAACAATACACCCTGCAAACCCAAAATAAACCATAAAACAAAATCAATAATACCCCACAAATGTAAAAAAAAACAAATAAAAAAATCGACCCCATGAAAGAACAAACGAAAACATAAAACCCCATAAAATCAAAATTGACATTAATCTCAACAATGAAATTTCAAGATCATACCTTTTGATGAAATCGAAAGATGCAATTTTTTCAAGATTAATACATAAAAATCACCACCATCATCGTCGTTATTATTAATTATTCGGAAAATAAAAACTTTACAAAGAATTCCTTTTGGTTCCAAAGGATGACTGACCGTTGGAACCAACAGAAATTCAGATTCCTACTTGTCTGCATAAAACAAGACACAATGCTTCGATGACTTCTCTATCCATGAAATTATGCAATTCTTTTTCTTTAAAATAAATAATAATTTTTAAAAAAAAAAAAACTCACAAAACTCACAACTTCTAATTATTTTATTTTCCTGTTTAATTAATTTTAGTCCATTTGTTTTCTTTTTCCCTTTTGTGGTTTGCAATAAAGCTGTCTTGACTAATATTTTCTATAATTTTAAAAGATTAATATTGATGACGACTAATCTAATTGATTTTTTTAATTATTGGTGTATTACTTGTAACATTTATACCTTCAACAACTCAGTGAAGAGACAATAATGTAGTAACAAAGATAATCACATGGTCTTTTAATTTTGGTAGGTTTAAAATAGTTTTTCAATGTATTTATGTAAGTTTAAATTTTTAAGTTCTCAAAAATACTTGGTATTTTTTTATATTCACAAAATATTTAATAACCTATTACGATTGGATTAGTCGGAATTATAAAAATATTTTAATCAAAAACATTAGAAAAGTCTAGTAAAATATTAAAAATTGTATTAAATACCATTATTGAATAAAAATTGTGGCTGAAACTGCATATTTTCACTTTTTGATCGGAGTTCTAATCAATTTTTTTTTTCTGAATATAGACGATAAAAGTTTGTAAAATATTTGGCTATGATTAAACGTTTCACTTTTACCTAATTTAAAGAAATAAAAGTTGCTCTTCAAAAAAATAAAACTAAAAAAGAGATATATATTGAATTTTTTTTTTATTTAAATTAAATTATAAATAAGATGCATTAAAATGAAGATTGTATCGAATACTTGCACTTGATCACGTTGGAGGTACACTTTGGACATCTCCTTGGAGTACAATTATTAAACTGTGTACTAAATGCCGCTGGTTTTCGATACGTGCAAGCATTTTGCATTTTCAAGCATTTCGTTGAAGAATATATATATAAAATAATGAGTTGATTTGATTACTTCATCTCTAGGTTCGACATGTTTTTTTTTATTTTTCATTGTGGTATTTAATATTTATATTGAAATCTAATTAAAATTAAATTTTGTATTACGTAAAATATATATAAAAGGAAATTAAATTTTAAATAACTTTTTTTTATATTCAAAACTCAAACTCAAAATCTCAAAATAAAGATGAAGGGATCACAGTTAGAGCGAAGATTAGGCATGTTAGTGGTGAATAGACAGCTAATAATACAAGGAAAACTCACAGCACATACAATTCAAAAAAAAAAACTAATAATTCAGGGAATATCCTTCATCGAAAAATTATATCATATATACAAGTAAAATAATATAGAAAGTGATTAAATAACGTATTTTGGATACCCTTAGCATAACAAGGTGTTGTTGTCTAGTGATTTAAGGTGCCTTTAAAGAGCCAAACCTTTAAGCGTTTGTGAGTTTAAATCTCGCTAGCAACAATTTCAAGCCTCTTTTTTCATGTATATTTAAAATTTATAGTGCACTCATTCAATTTTTTCATGTATATTACATTTTTTAGTTTTTTTAATGTATATTACGTAGTTAAATTTTAAAATTAGTACATTCATTCATCCAAAAAAAAATGTGCTCGTTTATGATTCTTAAACATCCTCGTGAAACTTTGGAGTACTCCGCTGATGTTATGTAAGGACTCATTTGAAGGAAAATGCTCCTTATCAAAAAAATTCATACTTAAATTCAAACCCAATTTCTAATTAAAGAAAAAATAACCTTATCTTGTATTACAATTTGCACTATATTAGTTAGTTAATCCATATAATTTGTTCTCCTGGTAATATCTATATAGAACAAATACATTTCTGAAAGATACATCCCTTTTTTAAGTATTGCTTCACATTATGCATCCCAGTATTTACTATTAGACATGAAATATTTAGTTCATGAACTATGAACTAAGTACTAATACAGATTTTAAAAAGACTTATTTGGGGAACGGAGAATTTTAAGTATTATATCTCATTTTAACTCACATCAAATAGTGTATAACATATTGATCATTCTCAAATAATTAACTTAAGGAGTTGCTATCTAATTATTTTAAAGGGAAATTAGGATACCTAAATTATAAACTAAGTAGTACTAAAATTAAACTTGAATTGATGGCGAATTTACTTAAAAGTAATTCTAGGTAAGAGTTCTAATTATCCTAAAGGGAAGGAATTAAATACCATTTCAGATTCGTTAAAAAAATATCATCGATCAAACTTAAGTTAATTTATCAAAAATTAAAAAATTAAATATATTTTTAAAAAATCAGGTAGCTAATTAAGAAAATATTTTTAAACTTGAAAAATTAATGAATAAACATAAGCTTATATTAGTCAATGGTATTTATTAGATATAAATGTATTTATAAATCTTGATGTTGAAAGAAAAGTAATAAACTAAATTTATAAAAAAAAAAAACATGTGCCAAATACTCAAAATTTCGAGAACTGACTTTAATTTAAATTCTTCATATTTTTAACTCTTACTTAGAGGTGGCAAATGGTTGGATCAGATCAAATTTGAATGGATTGAATATGGATTGAGCAAAAATGGTTTGAATTACAATTCATCCAAATAGAATATAAAAAATATGAATTTGGTCAAATATGATTTGAGTAAAATGATTTCAACCCATTTTTCAAAATCTGTTTTTTTTTTTAAAAAGAAATTACCCCCTCCCCAGGCACCCCACTAGGTGGTCTTGTCCATTGTCACTGTCTTGTTTGTCCATTAGCCAGGCAGACTAGGTTGCCTTTTCCTATTACTTATTCAAAAATTACATCTGTGTTTGGTCTTGTTCATGCTGACATTTGGGGAGCATACATAGTTTCTACATATAATGAATTCAAGTATACACCCTTATTGATGATTTTTCAAGAACGACTTGGACTTTTTTACTAAGGCTTTAAAATGATGTGTTTGTGGTACTTAAATATTTCATTTCATCTTGTTGAAAATCAATTTTCTACCACAGTCAAAATTTTGAGATTAGATAATGGTATTGAGTTTTTTTTACACTTTGTTCATTAATTTCTATAAATCTAAGAGGATTATTCACCAAAGTAGTTGTGTTCCTACACCACATAACAAAATGGAATTGTGGAGAGGAAATAGACATCTCCCAAAAGTAGCAAGGGCTATTAGGTTTCAGGCTAGTATACCTATCAAGTTTTGGAGTGATTGTGTACTGACAACTACTTATATTATCAACAGGCTTTACTAACACTGTTCTACATGGGATTTCCCCTTATGAGATTTTCATGCTACACCACATATTTTGTCTCATTTAAGAATCATTTGTTGTCTTTGTTATGCTTTTGTTCCTGTTTTTCATGACAATTTTTTTCCAAAGTTGTTCCAGGAGTTTTCATGAGGTACTCTGTAGCTCAGAAAGGTTGTAGGGTATATGCTATTGCTGCATAAAGATTTATGATCAGTAGAGATGTTACATTTCATAAGAATATATTTTCTTTTTCTTATCCAAAATCATAGTTTCTTCCTGTCTGTAAATCTAAAGTCTCTTTTACTCCTACTGCACCAGATTCTCCACATATTCCTTCACTCCATTTTTCTAATGAACATCTTGATTGTACACCAAACTCTACAGATCCTCCCTGATCACCTGTTATTTCTTCTCATGATAGTACACCTCATGTTCCTTTAAGAAAGTCCAATAGACCTGCTAAGCCTCCTATATAGCTCACTGATTATGACCATCCTTCTTTGCCCTTTACTAGTTCTTCTGCTTCTGCTGGTTCTTATTCTCTTTATCTTATTCAATCACACCTCTCATATTCTCATCTTTCTTGTCCATTCCTTGCCTTCCTTGTCTTTTTTTCTTCATAGCCCACTTCTTATGCCCAAGCTATTAAGGATCCCAGATGGATTCAAGCTATGAAGCTTGAGCTTGAGGCCGAGATCATAATCATACTTGGGAGGTGGTAGATTTGTCATCTGGGAAGGTTCCTATTGGTTTTAAATATGTTTTTAAGGTAAAGTATCATGCTGATGAGACTGTAGAGAGATTTAAAGTTAGGTAGGTCGCTAAAGGGTATACTCAGCAGGAAGGTATTGACTCTCATGATACTTTTTCTCAAATAGCAAAAATGACCACACCTAGGACTGTGATTGCCTTGGTTTCTCTTAGACATTGACTTATCTTCCAAATTGATGTCCACAATGCCTTCCTTAATGGTGATTTTTCTGAAGAGGTTTACATGTCTTTGCCACATGGTTTTAGTATCCAAGGGGAGTCCAAGGTATGAAGGCTACTTAAATTTCTATATGATTTAAAACAAGTTTCTAGACATGGAATATGAAGTTAACGCAAGCTCTAACAAGTTCTGGATTCACACAGAGCAAGCATGATTATTCTTTATTCACAAAAATAACTAATAACAAGCAAGTTTTGATTCTTGTTTAGGTAAATCTGACTTGTAGGAAAACAATAGAGAAAAACCTGATTTGCATAAAAACTTCAAGATGAAGGATCTAGGAGAATTGAGATATTTTTTGGCGAATGATTCAGGAGATCTTATACTTAGCTCAAATAGTCATTTGAACCCTTTTAGTCACGATATTGCCAACTGAACAGTTAAACTCAATGAAAAACAATCTTTTAAACCCTTTTGACTTCACATGCATTTCAAACACACAATGAAATTGACATGTCATGATCCACATCAGACTTTTAGTGACACGTCACTTATTTTACTTTATTTAAGAATTTTTTTTTCTTTTCACTTATTTTTTACTTATTTAAAATTTTCATTATATTTCTTTATCACTCCATTTCTTCCTCACACTAAATTTATCATTAACCATCTCCCTCCATTTCTTTTCACCAAAGGCACCATTGTCATTTTACATCCTTATTTCTTACTAGTTCTTACTACCTTAAATAACTAAAAAATATCATTTTTCTCCGAGTTTTCATCCTTCATAATTTTTCGTTTTTTACCAAGGTCTTCATCCAACTTGGACCATTGGAATCTGTTTCCTCCATTAACGCTAATGAACCACACAAAAATATCTTAATATGTTCTATTATATAAATAGTTCCACTTAATTTACAAAAAAACATATTATAATTATACTTTACTCTTCAAAATAATCAGATCTCTATCACCTAGCCGCCTGTAAATTACCCCTCCCTATTCCCCAATAGCTTCTCTTTCTATATTTTATCTCACAAAGACTGAAGCAATTATTTCTAGAAAAGGATTTCTGAAATACTTTTTGCAAACATATAAAAGATAATAAAAATGGGGAAAGGCAGCAAGAAAGAAAAACGGGGACTAGGTGAGGGGAAGAATGACAATGATGTTGGGTAGAAAAGAAAAGAAAATGGGGAGAAAAAGATTTGTCTTTTTATTCAATTTTTCTTTTCTTTTAATTAATTTTTAGTCTCAATTTTTTTTGTTTACGGTCCCTTAACGCGTGAGATTACACATTTGTTCCACCTCAACTATTAAGTTGTCACATAGGATCGGTCAACGGTTAGAGAGGTTTAAAATATTGTATTTCATTGAGTTTAAGTGTTCAATTGGCAAAGTCATGAGTAGAAGGGACTAGTTGACAATCCGAGCCAAGTATATGGGTCTCCCAGGTGATTCCGCTTTTGGTAATTGAACTTGCCAGATCAAGTGAGGAAATTCTCTTGTCACAAAGAAAGTATGCTCTAGAAAGGATCTTAGAGACTGGTTTGAATGATTCAAAACCTCAGTGGACACCAATGGAGCAAAATCTAAAACTAATCAATAGCGAATATGAACAAAAGCTCTATATAAAATTTGAGGATGTTCCTTTGGAAGGCAGGAGCATCTACCAGAGATTAGTGGGTAAACTCTTGTATCTTACTATCACAAGACCTGATACATCATATGTTGTTCAGTCCTTAAGTCAGTTTATGCATGCCCCAAAAAGATCTCATTATGAGGCTTCTTTACATGTGGTGAAGTATATCAAGAGTCAGCCTGGACATGGTCTCTTAATGTCTAGTAAATGGGATGAGAAACAAAGCATATTGTAACTCTGATTGGGCCTCATGCCTTTTGTCTAGAAGGTCTATCTCTGGTTTTTGTATCAAATTTGGAACATCCCTCATCTCTTGGACGGATAAGAAACAAAACACTATCTCTAGAAGTTCTGAGGCAGAATACAAGTGCATGACTCAAACTGAATTGTCTTGGTTAAAAGGTTTGTTGAAAGAGTTGCAGGTGGAGGGAGATATAATTGAAATTGATTTATATTGTGATATAAAAGCTGCATTACAAATAGCAACCAATCCCATGTATCATGAAAGAATAAAACTCATCGAGATTGACTGTCATTTTGTTAGGAAAAAATTGCAGAAGGAATGGTGAAAACTGTATATATCAAAATAGTTATAAGTTAGTTATTAAGCAGTTAGTAAATGACAAGTGGATAGTTAGTTAGTAACTAACTTTGTAATATTTTGTATAAATGTATCCATTTGAAGGATACAAAGTACGAGTGAATAATTAAAATATGCAACACATGCACAAAGGGAACTTATTAACACCATTTATTAAAGTATAGATAAAATAAACAAGATACTCAAGGCGTTATACTTACCATTATCCAAACTAAAATAAAGGGAACTTATGAACACATCTTGACCAACAAAGAGGCGAAAAAACTTAAATTTGTATCTAAAGACAAATTTCAAACAAAGCCTATAACTACCAATATTCTTTTTTTTAACATTTTTTTTTTTAAAAAAAGAGGAAGCACTAAATCTGCCTAAAAAGGAACTTTCATACTAAACAAGAAACAGTAATCTTTTTTGGACAATTTTCTATTCAGGAAATAAACAAGCTGCACATATTCCTTATCATATAATGATCATACAAATGAATGATCAACTAGAAATAATAATAAAATTTATTTACCGTAATAAAAGTAAAATCATAATTGAATTCATAAAATCTAAAACATGTTAAAAAATAGCTTCAAGTCTCAAAGGAACAATTTTTTTTTTGTAACATCACTCATAATTATAACGACTAACTCAACTAAGTGATATCAATTATAGATATGTAAATTAAAGAAAAAAACTTGATATCTAATTAGAAAAGATGAGCACAGAAAAAAGAATGGATATCACCTATTGTGAGACAATGAACTGGAGCTCTCTTGATCTCGAATCTACCCTCTAACTTGGACTATTTCGACCTAGACCACACACAAAGAGTCAAGAAGAAATGTGGACTAAATAATTCATGTATAAACTAAGTAATTATTTGCAACAAAAGTGATGAAAAATAAATCAACCACAAACAATATTTGAAGAAATAGGAAAACAACGTGAATACTGAAGAATTTGTAAGATATTCGAGAACCTCTCCGAAAAAATATATTTTTCTTTATTAAACGTGAATTAAGTATCACGTAAAATAGCCTTCAAAAATTATAATCAAAATTGAAAACGTCCCACTAATTTTAGATGTGTAATAGCGATACTGCTTTCCCTCACACTTATAAATTGACCACCAGCCCCTTCCACTTCCGTTGTGGGATAACCCAACAATTTCCCTTTCACATCGGGCCTTGGGCTGGAGAGAACGACAACCCAGTTTTTCCCGGTGGGCTAAGACTTGTTGATAACCTGGGCTTTGATACCAATGTTGGATGGTGTTGAGCATTCTCAATCCAAAAGCTAGCTCAAAGTTAGAGACTTTCCCTCACACTTATAAATTGACCACCAGCCCCCTTCCACTTCGGGATAACCCAACAATATCTACGTTTTTGCCTTCTTCTTTGAATAAATAAATAAAAGATTAAAATCCATTATCCAATCCTCCATTGATTTGGCTTGCCTTCCCTTTAAGCAGGGAGGGACTGAGAATTTTCTGAATGCATACTCACGCCGCCATATCCTTCAAACCTTCATCCAGTGGCTTGTTCTCTCTCAATCCAGGAATCTTCCAAAACCCTAGTTTTGTAATTCGCCCACTCAGAAACAAGCTTCGTTATTCCATTCTTAATTGCAGAGGCGTTGAAATTCCATTTCCTAAACTCCGCCCAAGCATTAATTCTGTCAACAATGGCTCCACAAGTATCGCCGCTGCTGTCAAAGATGTTGATATTGCTACGCTTGGGAATCTCTGTGTCGATATTGTTCTCAATGTACCGGAGTTACCTCCTAAGCCTTTAGAACAACGAAAGGCTTATCTGGAACAGTTGTCCAAATCCCCGCCTGATACGGTTCGTCTGTTTTTATTGAACTACAGATTGATTATAGAATATTTTGTTTTTTCTTGTTACCGTTATTTGTTGGTTTCTGTTTATACAGAATATAGTTTTCTGGTTTTTGCAAATTTATTGGATGCTAGTGCAGAAACCAAGTGTTCCTTTGGTTTCATTTATACGCAGTTAATACAGTGTACAATTAAGCTATTTGTAGTCCTAATTACCCCAAAAGCTCAAAAAATACTTGGCTACGAATGGTTGATGTTAATGTGAGTTGTACATATTATAGTAGTGATAGTTGAAGAAAATACTGAAGTAATAGTTGAAAATTTTAATTTGATAGATAAAATATACATAAAAGTTTTAGATGGATTTATGTTAGAAATGTTGATATCTTGGATGTCTTGAAAGAAAAAGAGTGTAATAGTAGAAAGTCCTTAAAACCCTAGAGAAAAAAACAAGAAAAGAAAAATGAATTGGGATGGAAGGAGTACTGTGACAACTCAATGAAGTTCTGAAGCACAAATGATTCTACATAAGGCCATCTACCGAACACATTTGACCATATAGATTTTGGAGAGTTGAATAAGTAGTCAGTCTTTTTTGATGGTTATTTTTGTACTTTGTGAATGCATAATTATTTTATCTTTTCTGATAATCGTGGTGTCCGGTCTGCACACTTCAATTAACTCCACGGGATACTTGTCACCTCCTACTAGCAATAGGTACCAAGTTACTCTGTTCACCAAGGCTAGAACAGATAGGAAGAAATCACCTAGTGTTTTGTCATTGTAGATACATAATTTTTCGTCTAGAAAACTATATATTTTGTAACCAGACTGCATTCACAACCAATTATTTTATCAACAATGACACTATTAAGTCGTGAAATACTAGTTATTAGAGCATCAAATGCATCTATAGAAGATTTGGCTCAAATATGGTTGAGCTCATTTGCATGTTAAATGAATGATGTAGTTGATTAAGTTTCTCCACCACATTTTGCTCCCAATTCTTGGTGGTCAATGAAGTGGGAACTGGGAAGGTAACCATTAATTCTCAAGTTCAAAATCAACTTGTGTTCAAATTCCGGCGAAGGCAAAAATAGCCATTAGGTGATTCCTTCACATCGGTGGAAAGAGTTATTTGGTATCTATGTTGGTGGGAAAAACCACATACTCAATCGTATAGTTCAGGTGTGCACAAGCCGACTTGTCAGCAATCATCATAAAATAAAAGTCTATTTTTACCACATTTTGGGTTCAAGCCCACTATTTTAACAAAGTAAAATATGTGGTTTAATGCTTGGATGCTATCATCTTTGGAAGATGTTATCTTCAGTTGCAATAGCAGAATTTTGGAAATGTAATGGGGTAATAGTGTATTCCCAGCTCTCCAGCTCTTGACTTCTACGCCTACATATGTTTTCTAGACAGCTTCAGTTAAGTTGGAATATAGAAATATTGAAGTATTATCTACATACCAGTTCAGTGATGCTGAAAATGTGTGGTATTAGCACCCCTGTTGCATCATCCTTTTATATTATTTCCTTATGGTTGTATGTATGTTAAGTGATATCTTGATTATTTGACCCTGTTTCAGCGGTACTGGGAGGCAGGTGGAAACTGCAATGTGGCTATAGCAGCAGCAAGGCTTGGCCTACGTTGCATCTCTGTTGGTCATGTAGGTGATGAGATCTATGGACGGTTCCTCATTGATGTGCTTAGTGATGAAGGTATTAGTATAGTTGGGATGAATGAGCGGAGTGAAGCACTTAATCTTTCAAGTTCTGAAAATGGAACACTACTGTGCTGGGTGTTAGTGGACCCTTCGCAGAGACATGGCTTTTGCAGGTCCTTTTGATCTTTCCCTCTCACTTGGTGCATAATTTCTTGATCATTGTTTGGCCCACTTTATGTTGCACGTAGAAAGTTATCATTGTCTTTCTTTTATAAGATAAGGTATAAAAAGGATCATAGTCTAACCTTTAAGACGTTAATGTTTTCCAGTCGTGCAGATTTTAGTGCAGATCCTGCTTTCAGTTGGATGACCAGACTATCTACTGAAGTAAAGATGGCTATTAGAAAATCAAAGATCCTCTTTTGCAATGGTTATGACTTTGATGAACTCTCCCCTAGCCTTCTTGAATCTGCTCTTGAGTGTGCTGTGGAATCTGGGACATCTATCTTTTTTGACCCTGGACCACGAGGTAGGAGTCTTATCGCAGGAAGACCTGAAGAACAAAGAACAATTGGAAAGTTGTTGACGATGAGTGAAGTGCTTCTACTGACTTCTGAGGAGGTTTGTGTTTCATACTTGCAAAAATTTGTCTCACTTGTGCCTTCTGCTATTTAACATCTCAATGTGTGGCAAAAAATGATAATAACCCAATTTTGTGAAGATAAAAAATATAATAGTTTCCCTGTGTGCACTTTAATGTTTAAATAATCCATTTAAAAGAGCTCTTCTGGTAGCTAAAAAGTATCTCACTGAACATGTGATATTGGAATCTGGTAGCTAAAGAGTTCTGTTATACGCTTGTAGCTAAAGAGTTCTGTTATATACTGGAATCTGGAAATACTGGTTGTAGTTTTGGTTTATTGACAAAATATGTGCAACTTAGAGGCAGCTGGAATTTATGGTATAAATAAGTCATTTTAAGAAAGTTATACTTGCTCCAGGCTATGGAGTTTTTTGTATTTGAAGCTTTCTATAACTCTTTTGCGTCATATCCTTTTTTTTTTCTTTTAACAATTTATCTGATTCCATTTTTGATATTTTTGAAAATTTGGAGTGTTAGTTTTTTATCCAAGGGTGAACATTTGACAGTAAGAATGCTATGTTTAAAGCTAGTTTTAATGCATTTAGACCTAAATCATGGACTTCTTTACTTTTTATCATTGCTTTGTTGGAGATATAAATGGAGTAACAAAGACAAAAGAGGCATGCATCTTAGAGGGATTCTAATTGGTTAGGGAGGAAAAATTGGTACACAGTGATATATATATATATATATATATATATATATATATATATATATATATATATATGGTAATTGACCTTTTGTATTAAACACCAAGTGAACTATTTACAAGATCCATAACTAGGCTAAAAGCAGCCTGTTATCTTAAGCAAAAACCAACCTAGCACAGAGCTATAATCTAGAATCTAAATCCATGTACAGCAGCTTGAATACTAGGAGATGCTCTAAAATTATGTACTTTTGCAATCTCTCTTGCTATTCTCTCCCAGCTTCTACTTTACTTCTCAACAACTCTTTAAGTTCCTTTCTATCCATAACCATGTACAAATTTAGCATAAACCAGTTTAAAAATTTATGCAGCTTGTGTCTTGCCTTTATCTCTGGTAATGATATTGTGAATGTGTTGGTCCCATTCAGTAGCAGCATGGTCTTGTCTCTGAATCAACACCATCAGGCCTGTTCCAGAATTGTGCAGATTCACATTGTCTGGAGAGATGATCAAATATTTCATCTTTGATTCTGGCACAGATGCACTGTACTCATTTAGTATCTACCATTAAGCCCTATCCTGTAAGTCTATCTGTGGTTAAGAGCTTCTTTTGCACCTAGAGCAACACTGTGAATCTAGCATTAGGCCTGGTATCATTTCTCAACATGAGTCATTTCCATGTCACTCTGGATTGGTCACCTAATAGCATCTTATAAAATATGCCTATAATACCTTTTCCAGCCTTGAGTGATCCCTGCACCTGCTCCATACGGACTCTAGCTTCAAATATTTTCCTTATCATCCTGCTAGCTTGCTATGGCACAACAACATTTGCAAATATTCATGGTGATTTTGCCACTTTTCCATGTCAAATATTCAGTCACGTGGAGCATTGTTTTTTTGTAAGAAATAAAAAGGTTAAGGTGCTAACTGTGAAAAATTAAAGGATACTTATGATAGGGGTGTGTAACACACAAAATTGGGGGTGCAAATGCAGAACTGGTTTTTGGCATTCTCTTTCATGCTGTTACAACATATAAATGGAAAATAATATAAACATTTGAAAAATATAAAAAATTAATATCTGGGAAATTGATTGTTTTTGTGTGTTTGATCATTTTCGTAGGAAGTCCATAAAAGGATTGTTTAGTTGCTTGTTAGAGCAATGCATGTAGTATTAGTATAAATACCGAGTGCGGATAAATTTTTGTTGTAGCAATGTACCCATCTTTGTGAAATTCTAGATCCCCTACTGTACTATTTCCTTGTAGTACCACTACCCCTTTCCATTTTCATGTACATTTTTAGGTTAATAAGGTTAAGCAATGGATGTAGCGTTATCCCTATTATGGTCTGCTGTAGTTGTAAAGTTGACCTCTTGATGCGATATTCGAGCTGATTTGTTGGCTTTTCCCTTGTTGCTATATCATAATGTAGCATAGTGGTTATCTTTTGCTGAATTTTTACTGTGTAAATTATGATGTTCCCCTTTCTTGTAAATCAGTGGACAGTTTTACTGCAGTGATAGCTTTTAGTGTATTGAGAATGTGTTCCCTCCCCGGAAACTTACTTATCTGAATCACTTTGTCTTCTCCAGGCTGCATCTTTAACTGGTATCAAAGATCCAATTTTAGCGGGCCAGGATTTGCTCAATAACGGAGTTTGTACTAAGTGGGTGATTGTTAAGATGGGTCCGAAGGGTTCAATTTTAATCACTAAGTCGAGCATAACGTGTGCACCTGCTTTCAAGGTATCAACTCTGTAGCTGGCTGGAATATTGGTTCTTGTAGAAAAGAAGTAGTCAATTCATCTAATTAACAGAAGTTTACTTGCTTTATCCCCATTAGTTATCTTACAACAACATACCCAATGTAATCCCTGGGGTTCGGGGAAGGTGATGTGTACGCCAACCTTATCCCTACTAGGTAGAGAGGTTATTTCTGATAAACCTTTGGGTCACCATTAGTTAGCTTATCCCAAAGAAATTTATGTTCTAGTTGGGCTCTCTTTCTTCATAAAACCCCAATTGAAGGGCGGGCAGATGATCAATGAGCACGCAACATTTCGGGATATTTAAGAAAATTGAAGCAAAGTTAATATATCTCATGATTTCTAAAAGAATCACCAACTTCCATTCCCAGCAAATGTAGGAACCTTAATGTTCCCTAATATTTTTTCTTTTTAATAACTGAGAAATCTACTAGGCTAGTCACGGTTGGAAACTCGATTGATAATAGGCCCACCCCTTTGTCCGTCTCCACTTATGTATCAGGTTTTTGTTTGAGGCTGGGTTGGAACCTGTGATGCAGGTCTAACCTACACATCATGTGTTGCGCTCTTTCCACTAAAACAAAGTGCATCTTTCATAAATTTGATTTTAAATGTCCTCTCTGATTCATTGTAACAGGTCAATATAATAGACACTGTGGGCTGTGGAGATAGTTTTGTGGCTGCTGTTGCATTTGGATTCATACATGACTTGCCCTTGAGTTATACATTAACCCTTGCAAATGCAGTGGGTGCTGCAACTGCTACGGGGTGTGGTGCTGGTAGAAATGTTGCCAGTTTGGGGAAGGTCCAGGAACTATTGAAGGAATCAAATTTAAACGAGGATGAGAAGTTTTGGGATGAAGTACTGAATGATAATGTGAACTCCCGAGATGTAACTTTACTGTCAAAAATGGTTGTAAATGGTAATAGTCAGGTAAACCGTGTCTCCCTACAAAAGGTGGTATCCGAAGTGCTGCCCAAGCTTGAATTTGCGCCAAAGATGACTGGCTCCTTCAAATAGACGATGCAGTTTTTCTGGGACAAATAAATTTTGTTGTTGTTACCATCATTCTGATTGATTGTTGCATATTCACCCCTTAAAAAGAAATGCATGAGTTGCAGGTGCTCTAGCTTGCGGATTATGAAGTGCACAGTTGTATTAGGGCTGCTACCTTGCTGGTGGTCGAACCGACAGTTTTGTTGATAGAGTAAGAGGTGTCCAGATACTATTCATGATCTGCTTGCATGCATGCGAGAGGGATTGGCAGATAGATTGAGCGTTAGTGTTTGAGAGAAATTGCATGATCAAGTTGCTTGTGATTCCTGATTTTTTCTACGTGCACACATGAGAAGCTGTGCCTTGCTTCTTGTAATTTGATTCTTACATCTAACATACAGAAGAAAACATGGGCAATCTGTTTTACAATGGAAGCCATATAGCCATACATTTCTAGTTTAGGATGAGTAGAAGACACCAATTCATGTTTGCAACACGTCCATATTACCATTTATGATACAAATACTTGGGCACTCATTTTGTGTGTCCCTTCCCGTTATATATACCTGCCAGTTGAGATTGCAATTTAACTTTCATTTTGATGAGCTAGCTCCCCATTGACCAAGTAGAGGGAAGTGCGCATGTAGCCGATTTTGCAACCCCTGTACAAGTGATAGCATAAGCTCATAGAAATTTTGCAAGTCTAGTTATTTTTGACTCAAACTTCAAATATACACTCCAGAAGTTTGACATTGTTTGTGCAAGCAAACTTTAGAAGTTGAACGGTTGTTTGTGTCACACTTGTGTCTATTAGTCTTGGCTTTTAAGTAAAGATGTTGGATCTCATGCATATTCTATAAACCATTTTTTTTGCTATTCCACCATAAAGTCTCATGGTGGGAGCAAATAGCTTGGAGGAAAGTTGTGTAAAACTGGATCTAGTTTGGCATGGTATTAAAAAGTTGTGTTATTGAACCTCAGATATATAACTAAACTTCAGACATTTATATATGAATTTTCAAGCATTTTCTTTTGAAGTTCAATCAGATATATGCAGAACTAATGCAAACAACCAAGTTGCAGCAAGAATGGTAATGACTGATCATATGAAATGTGACCAACTAAACACAACAAATCAATTTGGCTGGAAAAAATGTAAATGGAAAGAAGGATAAAAGACTAGACGGTTGTTTATAAAGACGAACCCAAACTTGGCCAAGCCACAATTCTGGTGTTCTCAGTGACGCTTTTCTGGTTATCGATTATAATTTGAATTTTTTTTCTATGAAGCTTAAATAACAAAATAAAAACTTTCTACCAGACAATTCCTAGGACCAGGGGACTGAAACGCGCCACTGAAATTCTGTAGCGAGACAAAGATGGATTGTTAAGAAGGTAGTAAAATACCCTATTATTTTGGTGTCAATCAAGTCTGGCTTAGGCCCTGGTTAGTCATATTGCAATTTATTTATGTGCCAATCAAGCCTGATTACGGGGTAGATTGTTAGGGTTTGTTATATCACCACCGCTAATTTTCCCCTTCTTTCATCTCCTCGTCCACCAATAAGCAACTGTTTGTTGACAAAAGACATGACTTCCTATTTCAAGTTGATGCTTGGGGTAAAACAATGCCATACAAGCAGGCATGGAGAGGAAAGAAAATGGATTTTGGCTGTTATTGTGGACCATCCTATTTCAATACTTTGGCAATCTCTTATGTGAAAGCACGAACATAGAGCTACCACAACAACAAAAATAACACGATGTAAATTTAGAAAAGCACCCAAAGATTAGCCGAAGCCATCCATAGCTAATTAATGATTCAAACAAAAAAGCATCTAGCACATGAAAAGGAAAGCAATTCTTTTTCATCTCTTAGCATGGACACATCTAATATGAGTTCGCTGTATAACTGAGGTGAAACATCATACTTACTCGGTGCGATATACGAATAGTTTCAAAATGGAGAGTAAAAAACTACAGGTAAACCAACCAGCACTTCCACCTAACTACCTAATGCATCCACTGCCTGCTACTATTCATGATACAGCTAACCGAAAACAAAACTTTCTAAATGGCTTATGACTTCAGATCTCATGATTGTAACCATGACCTGTCTTGAGCGGGATATCCATCAATAGCCATAGCTGGATCCATACATGGAACCATAATCAGCACCAGATGGATGGCCAGGACCACCTGATAGTGAAGGGTATAAAGGACCTTGAGAATGAGGATTATAACCTTGGGAAGGTGGTCCAGCTGCTGTGTTATGCATTGAGCTGGCAGCATCAGCAACAGAATTCTGCACCATAAGGAGGGTGGTAAGAACACAATACACTTCTAAGAAATCTCAGTTGTAAGACTGATATGGCAAACTCATTCTTTGGGAGTTGAAAATAAACATCAGATTCACAGGTGACAATGGGGCTACTGGAAATGGTAGCGATAGTTTTGCTTGGAGATACAGAATCATAGATCAAGAGAAGCATTTTTTCCATTTGATACTTGGATTTTTAGAGGATAGATTTAATGTGTACATCAGTCATTTTACACTTCTATATTGAATATATTCATGTCAGTATGCTCCAATATACTGGAAGTGGACAAAAGTATCAACAGGAAACATGCATCATTTTTTCCTACATTTGTTGGTACTTTTTCGATTTTTGGATCTATTATTATATATTTTCACAATTTTGGTAATTTATGCTGATTTTATTAGTTTATAATTATTTATAGATTAAAAATTGATGGGCTTATGCCCCATGCCTTGGGTATTGCACCCAGTCCCTCATGTAGGTAAAGCATCTAGCCTTGTGATCACACCTTTTAAAATGATCCCTCCTGCAACATGGTACCACCACCTCCCTCTCTACTTCTCTACTCCAGTATAACAAAAAACTTTGCAACACCCTCCCCCAGCACAGCTAGCACTTAATTACTCCAACCATGCCAAATAAACCTCATTGGCTGAGTATTTGAATCCCATATCTATGCCAGAAACCCAGAAATAGCACCACCTCTGTTGGATTTCCATAAGGTAAATTGAAGTTCAATAATTAAATTATCAGTATATTACCTGAATTAATTGCTGAGCTGTTTGCACCTGTGATGCAGATCCAGTTATCTCAACGGTCATCTCACCAGGAACATCCCTTGTTTCTTGAATTGCAATAGACGCACCACTGGCCCGACGGATATAGCTAATATTTGAACCAGATGTCCCGATAACAGCATCAGCATAGGACAGAGGAATCTGCATGTTTTGGGTGACCTTAAAAAGAAAATACATCAAGGAAAGGAGCATCAGATAACAGAACATTGGAGTAAAATATAAAAAAGAATTGAAGGTCTAAAAAAGAAGGCAAGACACGGCTGGAAACTTGCCAGATCTATTCAGTAGTATCCATAAAAGGCCACCTGATACTTATCAGGTGTAACGTATATCGCATGACTTATATGCCACCTCTTCATGCACCTTTGTTGGGTGATTCATTAATCAAGATCAGAGTCCAACTCCCCAAATTATCTCAAGTTTGCAGAGAATGTGTAAATTAGGTCAGCAGTTGCATTCAACCAATTGAAGGCAGAAAAATAACACACCTTTGTAACCATAGATTGTTGTGTTTGCGCATTTGTACCATAAGTTCCCATTGAAGCATCTCTACTATAAGGAGAGGGGCCCTGACGAGGCTTTTTTTCCAACGGTGCCATGTCTACCGGTGGAAAATAATTATCAAATTGTCGTGCAGGTGGCATGTACTGAGTGTTGGGTCCAAAACCAAATCCACCCTCAGCACTTCCAGGAAAACTGGATGGAGGAGGGCCCCATGACTGAGTAGGTCCAGCTGGAGCCCTGTTCTGATTTGATCGAGCATTTGGCATTTGCATCTGAGCAGACAAGAGAAGTCATAATTTTTTTTTAAAAAAAAATTATTACGAAGGTAAAATTCCCACAAAACAAGAGAGTAGACTTACTTGCATCTCAAAAAATCCAACTACACTATGATCAACTAAAAATTTCCTGAGATGTGATGCAACCATTTCAACTGCTTTATGCACCCCGGCAGGCTCTCCTTGTATCTCAACAACATTATCATCAGGAAGAGCAAAAAGAGGAAGGTGCTCTGCGGAATCCAGTTGATGGAATCAAACATATGATAACATTTCCAGAAGGAAAAAAAGGAGAACTTAGAATAACACACACGACACAACTGCACAATAAACAAGCTCTACTAAGTTCACGAAATAGTCCTTTCCTAATTATCATATACAAACAAGACAAGGGAAACTAACCAAAAGGACCAGAAACTATGTGTTACTCTACCTCAGAGTAGTTACCTTACTTTGATTATTCCTCCACAGCTTTATCTGCTTTCCTATCTTTTGACCAACAAATTCAGGTTTCTAAATTTTCAACATCTAGAATTATCACTATCTTAGTTTTTGCTTATTTCCATAAAGACGAATGACATACACAATATTAACTAGCATTACTGGTAAACTTTTGTTAATAAAAAAGGGTAATATATAAAAGCAAATATTTGCCAATACAATTTGATGTTTATACACTTGAGCCAGTATTAGCTCCATGCCTTTTTTGGACCCAATGTACCCATCTAAATACAGCTCGAGATCATAGCAGTTCAAGAGATGAGAAAAGGTGAGGAATCTCAAGCAAGTCCCTAATAAAGAAATCCAACAAGTCCTTTGAAGTTTTAAGTAGGTGAAAAGGGTAGGGTTGAGAAGATTCTCAAGAAGTCCAAAAGCAAATTGGATCCTAGAAGCAAAGTTTGTTGTTAACGATATGGTCTTCACAAAAATCCAACATGAACAAGCCTTTCAAGTAAGTCCAAAAGGGCTATCTATAAACCTACATCTTATTCACAAGAATCATACACCATATTAAGCACACATAAGTTCTGTTTGTTTTTGTTATAGAAACCCCACCAAAACCTCTCACATGGAGCCAACCTGTGGCTTTTTACACTTAGTTCCCCTTAATGACTATAACCACCAAACTCTTGGTTAGAAGGGGGGGGGGGGTCTTAGCTTTAGTTCCCTTAGTGATTATAACCACCAAACTCATGGTCACGGGTGGAAGTTTTGGCTTCCTTGATGACTCAAACTAACCTTCTAGATGAGAAAAGAAGGGTCTTTTCACTAAGATACCCCCCTGCCTTGTGTTATCTTAAGTTAACACATCTTTTCCTTGAAAAATAAATATAGAGAAGGATATATCCTTAAATAACTTTTCAGCTAGCAAATTGTACTGGCTTAGATTAAATCATTTAACCACTTTGGGCCATTTACAACAAGCAAAATCAAAATGGATAAGAAATGTATTAATCCCACATGTTCCACTAACATATGAAATTGACAATAAGAGAGCATATGTATATTTGGGAACTCATTCATTCAACCAATGTTTTTACAGGCTTCACTTGAGATGCGCTCAAGCTCTAGGACTAGGTGGGAGCAGATTTGCGCTTTGTCTTGCTTAAGCAACATTTCAGAGGAGGGACCAACGGAAAAAAATACATTAAATACAATTTG